TGATATTGCTGGAATATTGCTAAAAGTGGCGTAAAACTGAAACTCACTCACTGATTTCTGTACTGAACAGGATCCTACCAGCCTTGGGCTTCAGACAAGGGAGCTGAAGTTGCAGGCTTTGATTATGATATCAGCTAAACATATCTTCATTTTCCTTTGGTGACTAGCAAGACCATGAAGGAGGATTGTATCACCTACACTTTATAATCACTCTATATGACCATAGATATGCCAAATTTTTAGGTTAAAAAAAGTGGTCTGTAGAAAGAGGTCGGTTTATCTGTGGTTTACACTTTCATCAATCTGATTTTTCTGGTGGTAAGAAAGCTTCACTGTATTGCTTTGTGTGAACAAGAGGAAATTACTTTTGTCAGTGAAGACATTGCATTTGCAATTAAACATCACCTGACAAGATTATTTACTTTTTCAGTTCTATTTTGTTTTTGTTGGGCATTGTTTTGTATGCAGGTATTAAAATCACAGCGTCTATTAGTCTCATAAACACAGCTGGAAATAGTAGGGTGTCGCGATACGCGAATGTATCGATGTATCGATACATTTTTACTGACGATACGATACGCGATACATGCTTGCGTGTATCGATTCCTATTTTAAAACTTTATCGATTCAAACTTTTATGCTATATCCATCTCCTTCAAAGTCTTGATAGTAAAATTATACGAGACCGCTCCGATAAATAAAGTAGCTAGCTTTACTTAAAAAATAGGTTGGAAACTAACAGCTTTTGTGATTGGCTAGACTATTTTGATGGACCAATCAGCGAGCGCGTACGTTGCCGGTAAGGTAATGCTATGAAAAGGCGCGAAAATTATGTATCGCGATACATATCGTATCGTGACATTAAAATCGTGATAAGTATCGTATCGTGAGATTGGTGTATCGTGACACCCCTAGGAAATAGCAATCAGCTGTGCACACGTTTCCCCACGATCTACCAGTGATTTAGTTAAAACATTCCCAATAATATAACTGAAATATATTTCTGATGCAGTGAGTGGAAAAAATATCATCTGAACAATTATTTTACCAAGAAAAATATATTCCAGCAATGTGTCATTTTAATTGCAGGTTTTGTTCAATAAATGTAAAACATTTATACCCATAACTAAGGTTATGCAGCAGCACTTTTATGTATTGCCGGACACATTCTATGTATGGACTCCATGGTGTAGTGGTTAGAGCGTCCGCCCGGAGAGTGGAAGGTCGCGGGTTCGATCCCAGACCACGTCATACCAAAAGACGTTAAAATATGGTACTTGTTGGTCCTTGCCTGGCTCTCGCCATTAATGGGTACAACAAGGACTGGTCGACTCGGAGTCAGTATAATGTGTCTGAGTGGGGTATTCATGCTTCACTGCGGCATGGTATCTCAGTGGGCTAGCACTATAAAACCAGCTTAAGTCTAGGCTAGTACAAGCAGCCGCACATACACATACACACGCATGCACATCGTCATATGAGCGAAAAATTCTCAAGCACGGCGTAAAACCCAATTTCACCTCACCTCACCTATGTATGGAACAATTTTACCTGTCATCTCTGTAAACATTTCACTTTGTTGATGTCATGGAGTGTTTGAAGCCCAAAGGTATTGTTTGAAAACTAGCGCACTGGCTATTTGCAAATTATTTTTAAATTTAGGTCCAAACATGCAATTATAACCTAGCATACTAGTATGCAAATGTAAAGCACATGCTTCACACAATATCTCCCGCCGTGATGTTGCTGGAATATTGCTAATAGCGGCGTAAAACCAAACTCAGTCAGTCAGTCACACAATATCTCAACAGCTATGGGTGTCATGTTCACCTGCTTCTAAGGCACCAAGCCTGATTCTCGTCTCTATAGATCAATATATTAGTCATCTAGGTGACAGCGACCCATACATAACTGTTTCTATGTCAACTGAACCTGTTGTTTTACTGATCAACGTAGTCTGGGTATGGTTACACTCGTAAATATCCATGTCACTGGTAGCCAGATGTTACAGTCATAGCTACAGAGGATTTTTCTGTCCTGATGTATCCTGATTACCAGTTTGCAAATGGTCACACGATTTCCAGGGGAGAATAATTCTTTCTGATCAAGACCTTAGATAGTTTAAATGACTGTCTACCCATGAAGATCCTGGTTAAAATTGGTCTTCAGCAACCCATGCTTGTCGTAAGAGGCAACAGGCGATCGGGTGGTCTGGCTTGCTGATTTGATCAATGTATCCCATTTGCATAGATCGATGCTCATGCTGTTGATCACTGGATTGTCTGGTCTATATTTTATTATTTACAGCCCACTCTGGAATATTGCAGAGTGCAGCGTTTCACAACAAACAAATATATGTTCGTCCCTGGTGTATGGCTTGACCAAGGAAAACTGAGTCAATGTTTGTTTTTTCTATTGCAGAAAGTGCTCCAGAGCTGTCGAGGATGACTTCTCCGTTACGGATGTATGGCTGTTTGTGAGGAGAATCTGAAACTGGATCTTATTCATTGAACTCTTACTCCATATCTGAGTGTTCACAACGCTTGGATAAGTGATTCGGTTATACCACAGACATTTTGGTCACTGAGGCCTGTGTTCGTGCAATACCAAACCAAACCGTAATCATTTCAGACAGTGCTGTCCAATTTGGTCATGTCTCACACAGCTTCAACAGTGAACAAAACAAGGTTGTCAAATAAAATATTTTATTCATTAAGATAAGACACAGATTGCCATATCTCATTCACTCTATGGTGGACAGATCTTCTATGGAATGTAGCAGTAAACACTTAAAAACAAACTAAATATGTTGGCAGGAATCATTGTATATGGAATCTGTGTTGATAAGGGTGAGGAATGTTGGGAGTTCAGAAGAGGTAACATCGTTTTCCATCTCACCTGTTCTGGTACCCTCATGTATCACATGAAGAGCACAAAATGGCATAAAAATAAACCCACAGATAGTCATAACCCCAACAATATCAACATCTACATGAGTAGTACTGCTAATTATTCAGATGTTCCTGAATGCTTTTTTCAGTTTTTCTCCTGTAAACTTCATGAACACTTAGTTGTCGAGCTGCTGTCATTTCAGAAATTTGTGATCTGTGCATAAGACCTAAGTTCTGTCTAATTTATGAACAGTAGTGAAAGTTTCGAAAGCTATTTCAAGATAGTTCTGTGTCTTTCTGCACACCCTCTTCCCAGATAGCTGGGTGATTCAACAGGTCTGGGATGCCTGTTTTATGTAGTCATGTTACTATGGTAACTAAATTAATTCCAGGAATGTCACTACAGCAAGAATGTGATTATGCCTAACACTATTATATCTATGATGTTGTAAATGTGTACAATAGAAAAATGGTACTGCACTGTTGTTTGTCTATGTTTAATTGGGTAACTAACCTGTTCTAGTCTTTCATACAGCTGGTGGTAGACAGCAGGTATAACCTTTTGTGGTTATAAATCATGACAGTCATACTGCACTGGTAAGTGCATTGGTGTTAATGCACTGGTAATATTGCAATGGTGTTAATGCACTGGTAATATTGCATTGGTGTTAATGCACTGGTGTTATTGCACTGGTAATATTGCATTGGTGTTAATGCACTGGTAATATTGCACTGGTGTTATTGCACTGGTAATATTGCACTGGTGTTAATGCACTGGTAATATTGCATTGGTGTTAATGCACTGGTAATATTGCATTGGTGTTAATGCACTGGTAATATTGCAATGGTGTTATTGCACTGGTAATATTGCATTGGTGTTAATGCACTGGTAATATTGCAATGGTGTTATTGCACTGGTAATATTGCAATGGTGTTAATGCACTGGTAATATTGCAATGGTGGTTATTGCACTGGTAATATTGCAATGGTGTTAATGCACTGGTAATATTGCATTGGTGTTATTGCACTGGTAATATTGCATTGGTGTTAATGCACTGGTAATATTGCAATGGTGTTATTGCACTGGTAATATTGCATTGGTGTTAATGCACTGGTAATATTGCAATGGTGTTATTGCACTGGTAATGGCAATGGTGTTAATGCCGCGGTTTGGTGTTATTTCACTGGTAACATTGAATGGGTGTTATTGCACTGGTAATATTGCAATGGTGTTATTGCACTGGTCACATTGGATTGGTCAGTAAACAAGTTCAGGATTACACAGCAATGGAAACAACCAAGCCAGTATCAGGAATCAATAAAGTAACATAGGACAAACAGGTCACATATGACTAATGAGATGTCTCAAAAAGGACATACATATAACGACATATCGGACGAGACACACAGGTAACAGACAACTAACGAGATATATATAGGATATCAAGACAACAAGTAAGTAACAAAATATCTGATTGGACTTCCACTAAGTTCTAGTAACAGGTTACTAATAACATCTCTATGGGACAAACCGGTAACAGATTCTGAACAAAATATCCAATGGACATACCACTAACTTGTTACTAACAACATATCTAATGGTACATACAGAAAACAGATGGACATAGATTACAGGAAACAGATTACTAACAAGATGTCCAATAGGTCATAAAGTTAACAGATTACTAACAGATTATACATTGGGGGGGGAACCGTCGACGAGGGAGAACCACTTTGGAAGGGGGAAGCTCTTGATTCATTCGGTCATCTGGGGAAGATAAATTAATGCTGCCACTTCATCCGTTCCTTGCATTCATATACTGCACATATAATCCACAACACTAAAATATTGCAAGATATACATATGATCTGTAAAACCTTCACTACCAGTACTGAAAATACAGAGGACAAGATACAAATCCAAGACAGGGGGTTGAGAGATATGTCTGATTTTTATGTATTGTTTTGGCATGTAAGTACTTTGTGCATGGAAAGAAATATGAAAGCATTCAAGGCGAGGAGAATGCTTTGAAACATGGCTGCATGTGTAGCTAAGGACTGATGAATATAACAGATTTTTAGCATCAGCATTCATGATAACTCATAACATGGAGATATGCCTTGATGAAGAATGAAAAAGGTTATGTACAGGTCTAATACAGGAAAAGTTACAACTCGTCTTTGAATTTGAGCAATGTCTCGCCATAGTCGGTGGCCTTGCTGGCGATAAAGTCCTCATCAGCGTTACGGATCTCCTCGATGGACAGGAAGCCATCTTTATTTGTATCGGCCTTGCTTATCAAGTATTCGACCTCCTCCGCGGCAGTTTCCTGCATTCCCTGGGTAAGCCATTTTGTCAGCTCATCATCCTTGAGGAAGTTGTCGCCATTGGTGTCGAACTTCTTGAACTTCATCTTGTCCACGGCGATAGTATCAGTATCGAGATCCTCAACATCTGTCAAACAAACACCATGTGATGTACCCTGACTCATCTTCAGAAGGATTTACCAAACATGAAAATCTACTTCTCAGTTACATTGTTTACTGTGTTCTATGTCATTGTTCCCATCCACACGCAGTGAACATGGTATGAAAATATAATCAACTAGATCCAGATACAAATGTGTCAACTTACTCATGTTAGAGAGGAACTCTCCTATGTCTATCAGTTGTTTACTGGTCACAAGGGGGACATGGGTTGATGTAGCCTCTATGTTTGTTTATGTTCATAAACAAAGAGAGAGTGCATCAACCCATGGGCCCTGAGGGACCAGTGAAGAACATTTTTATCTTACTGAACACCTCAATGTTAATTTTGAACTGTTTGAAGCACGGGTATTGGATCATAATAAGGAGTTCCAGAGATAGGCAATGAGCCAACACTAGATTTTCAGATGACATAGAATCTAGCAGATGACAAGAAAAACAAAATTTAGTGTTATCTCCCTTCCATTGATTTGCATTCATGAAACATTGAGACAAAGAATTACTATAGCCTGTTTGCAGTGAAAACGTACCGATGAATTTCACTTTAAACAAAAAAGTAAATCAAATAATGTGAAATCAAGATTGCTAATCCTCATAATTTTACCCTGCCAATTCAACATTAACATCTCAGAATTTTATTCAACTTAGGATAAAAGTTGTTTAACAAACGATCATTGTTTCATATCGCTATTATTGGTATGTATTACAAGGGGGTATGCACATTAAATGAAACACCGAGAACAAGAAGGGTTGGTTTCTACGGTAGTCTAAGTTAACGCTCATCACGGACCGCACGTGCATTATTTCTCTATTCCAACTACTGCGTGTACCCCCTTGTAATACAAACCAATAATAGCCATTTGAAACTATGATCGTTTGTTAAACAACTTTTATCCTCAGTTGAATAAAATTCTGAGATTTTTATGTTCAATTGGCAAGGTAAAATCATGAGGATTCGCACTCTTAATTTCACTTTATGTGATTTACTTTCTTGTTTAAAGTGAAATTCATCGGTACGTTTTCACTGCAAACAGACTATAACATGAAGTACCAAATGAATTCCCACAATTCGGCATTCCCATAAAAACATAATAAAAAAATGTTACTCGCTTGTACGAGGGGTGCATTGAAAATAATAGAAGGGCACTCAGCCAGTCAGAAAACAACATTTATGTAAATAAGAGTGGTGCATTGAAAATAATAGAAGACCACTCAGCCAATCAGAAACCGACATTTATGTGTGAGGTAAGATAATGAACAACAAGTGAGTTTTTACATTCCTTTTAGCAATATCAGGACCGGGGATACAAGTAATGGGCATAATACATTGTACCCATGTGGAGAATCAAACCCAGGTCTTCGGCGTGATGAGCAAACCCTTTAACCACTTGGCTACCCCACTGCCCCTCTAATCTAATCTAAGTAACCGCCTCAGTGGTGTAGTGGTTAGAGCGTCCGCCCGGAGAGTGGAAGGTCGCGGGTTCGATCCCGACCAAGCGTACAAAAAGACGCGTTAAAATATGGTACTTGTTGGTCCCTGTCTGGTGCTCGGCATTAATGGGTACAACAAGGACTGGTCGGCTCGGAGTCAATATAATGTGTCTGAGTGGGGTATTCATGCTTCACTGCGGCATGGTATCTCTGTGGGCTATCACTATAAAACCAGCTTCAGTCTGGGCTAGTACAAGGAGCCGCACATACACATACACACGCATGCACATCGTCATATGAGCGAAATATTCTCAAGCACGACGTTAAACCCAATTTCACCTCACCTCACCTCTAATCTACAGTACATGATCACAGGTGGGGGAGGAATCAAAGATAAGTTTAAACAAAGGCTGCACATGAACATTTTTCTTCAAAAGAAGTAAATCTAGTCACAAAGCTGTAGGGTGGTAGGGTAGCCTAATGGTTAAAGCATTCACTTGTCATGCAGAAGACCCAGGTTTGATTCCCCACATGGGTACAATGTGTGAAGCCCATTTTTGGTGTCCCCCACCATGCTGTTGCTGGAGTATTGCTAAAGCTGCGTAAAACTAAACTCACTCACTCACTCACTCACAAAGCTGAAGTTGACCCGAACACAATACGTGTATTAGATTTTATAGGTCACTGTCAAAGGTTTCAATAACGTGCCATCCTTGTTCAGAATCCAGAATTCAATCTGCAGGTGCCAGGCATGACACTTTTGTCATATATGTAAAAGATTTTAGCTTCATGAACCAAGAGCTTTTAGAGAAGTCAAAATACACCAAAGCTGGATGAATGGATATGTTAAGGTCAAAGAGTGTATGTATCGCAGACAGGGTTCGAACAGATTATCAGCCCTCAATGTTAAGGCCTTTTTGAGGGATTTTCAAGGCCCAATTAACAATATTAAGGAACTATAGAATCACATACAAAACACATAAGTAGCTGATTACACACAGGGTTGGTCAAAGGTGGGAGCGACCATCAGAGAGAAATAACTGTTTACTACATCACTGCACTGGGAAAGTTTTTCTTCGAGATGGAGATTAATTAACACCTACTGTCATTGAAAGTTATTTGTATTATATATTAGTTTCTTGGAAAATCAGAACTTGACAAGTTTTGCTAAAAGTAGGGCCTTTTTATGGGAAATCAATGGCAATTAGGGCCTTTTCAAGGCTAAAACAAATCTAAGGCCTTTTCTGGTAAAATGTTCAAATCTCAGGCTTTTTCAAGCCCGTGCGAACCCTGATAGAGTATAAAGAGCCAGTATATTTACTCACTAAACAAGTCCCTGACAGTATGATATACACCATCCAACATATTTCCAGGGCAACTGTTCATTGAACCTACACTAACATCTGAATCTATGGTTCTCGCAATCACAAACTACCAGCCCTTGACTTTCATTTGCAGGTTGATCGGCTATGACACTTGTTCTTACGAACCCACTGGAATGAGTGGTCGTAAAATATTTATAAAAACTTAAGGTATTGATTTGCAATTGCAAGGACCACAAGAATGAATCTAGAAGTAAGCGTAGATTTTATGAAACTCAAGCCATGGAGATATAGAGTGTGATTAGATACTATTTGTATTATAACCTACCAAAGATAGATTGGTAAGTTCTGAAATACAGAAGTTGTAATACAAACAGCACCATACAGGGACATGTTTAGTTATTTTTTATTACTCACTTAAATTTTTCTCATTATTGAAATTAAATGTTGAGATGGTTTGGTCGCTGGTGTCAGATTGTTGTGAGATGTCAACGGTATTTGCAGAGGAAAACAGCAAAGACCGTTCTGTCTTGATCCCTGGCAATAAATGGTCATGTGTCTCCAAAATCAACACTGAGAAGTATAAATTTCAAATTCTGAAAACACGGTCCTGACAGGCACTCAGGAAGCCAAGGTGTTTTATGTGTGCCCTTAACAGGGCACTCAGGAAGCCAAGGTGGTGTGCCCATTATGTGTGCCCTTAACAGTGCCACAGGGCACTCAGGGAAGCCAAGGTTTTAAGTGTGCCTCTTAACAGTGCCACAGGGCACCCTTTAATGTGCCACAGGGCCTCAAGCCAAGGTGCTTATGTGTGCCTCTTAACAGGGCACTCAGGAAGCCAAGGTGTTAATGTGTGCTCTTTAACAGTGCCACAAGGCACTCAGGAAGCTAGGTGTGTTTATGTGTGCCCTTAACAGTGCCACAGGGCAGTCAGGAAGCCATAGGTTTAAGGTCAGTGCCCTTAATAGTGCCACAGGGCACTCAGTGCAGGGCGAAGCCAAGGTGTTTAAGTGTGTTCTCAACAGTGCCACAGGGCACCCAGACGGGGCGCTCGAAAAGCCAAGGTGTTTATCACTCATTCTCAATAAATGAGCGCATTTGACCATATCAAAAGTCAAAAAATAAAGTTAATATATATTAATATATATAAAGCGATACTCAGATATCGCTTGATTAGTATTAAACAGAGATATTAAAGATATATTTTCCTTTCATTACCGTAGTGGAAAAAATTCTGGTCTTAAAAAACAAATAACTGTCATGAATATCAAAGAAGAGTTCCAGTCGAGATCTTCAAAGGTGACATATCGCTTTGGCCAAAACCATGTCAGTGTAATTTCAAACTAAATCATTTGGTTTATGTTATGTCCACAAAATAAACATGTTTAGAGACAAGAACATTTCTAGAAGCTCGACAATTAAACTTCAAAATGAAGTATTCAAAGTGTGTCTTCGCTTCTTAAATGATTCCATGAACATATAATGTGATATGAAATGTAACGTACATTAATGCCTTTGTAGCACACAGTTCTGAAATTATGAATTTTCAGATAAATACTGCAAATTTCACTAACGACAGAACACATTAAGATGATTTAAAACTTACATAAATCGCTTTCAAGCAACCTTCATTTTCAAATCGGTAAAATCATCTCTAACATCCAAGTTTGATACTAAACCATACTGACGTGACTCATCATCAGAAGCGCATTACTTTACTATCAGACTAAGGCTCTATATGAATTGTAATATCTTCCATACAATCAGTAAGGTTTGACTGAGAAACAAGCAAACACATTTTCAATTAATTGAAATCTCTAACTGCAATGGCATCCAACACTCTGTGCTTTCTCAACAGCATCCAATTTCTGCATTCTTCTCGAGATTTGCCTACAGGAACAGGTTCACCTATCTTGCACAAACACATCAGAAGCCGGAAACCGTGATCTCCTAAACACATTTAGAGTACTGAAAAAAAACAAACTTTTTCTTCTCCAAATATTGGCGTTGCGGTAGCCGAGTGGTTAAAGCTTATCTTGTCACCAAGGCCATGGTTTGATTCCCTACATGGGTACTGTTTCAGTGGGTGTTACTCCAGTATAAAAGACACAATATAGACTTGGTACTTCGTCGGTTTACTGTCATGCTTTGTACAACCGGAACATGTGGCTTTGCGCGATGCGTGATGAGTCGAGCTTGATGCACTAATATAGTGATGTACTAAGGTAATAATTCTATTATCATAACATCTTCGGCTTTAAAAGGAAGAAAAAATAAAAATCATTAAAACCTGATAACAGAATCGAGTCCATCTGACTTTCTAATAAACAATAAAATTCTAATCTTCCATGAAAAGGATATGAATTTAAAAAGATAACAGCCTCTGCACCTCTGCTCTTATTTGGCAAACCGACACAACGTAGTCTTGGAGGTGTGATGGTAGAAGCGACACTCGCCCTGGTCACCTGGGCCACTCACATCACATCCCGCTTAACTTGGGAGTGGATGGTGAAGGAGAGGGTGGTCTCTGTGGTGTTGGTGGTATCATGGTTTGTACACCATCTGACAGGATTGCTGGTGCACTTTCAGAAGATTCACCATCCGGGGTGGTACTTTCCTCAGTTGTCGTCTGTTTCTTGTTAAGATGTGACCCTTGTCTGTTTCTAGTTCATATGATCGGATGTTAACTTGTTTGCTAATAGTTCCTTTCCTCCATTCCTTATCACCGAGGTGAGCAGGCTGGATACGCACAGTGTCTCCTTCATGGAGTGGCATAAGATCTGCATCATCTCTGTTATAAACGTGTGCTTGTTTCTGAAGTTTTACAAGCTTCTTTTCAGTCTTGACAGTACTGTTGACGGCAGGCAGCAACAACTCTGGACTTCATCGGGCAACAGGGTCTTAGTATGTCTGTTACACAAACGCTGGGCTGGTGAGGGTGGACATACATTTCCGGTTGGAGTGTTCCTATTGTCTAGAAGTCCAAGATATGGAGTCGGTGTTGGCCTTGGCTGATTTCTGGAGAGAAGTTTCGCGGACTTGACAGCTGACTCCACTTTTCCGTTTGACTGAGGATACACTCGACAACTGATCAAACTCATAGCTTGCTGCTAACTGAGCAAACTCCTTGGAGTTGAGCGGAGGACAATTGTCTGATACAATGGTATCTGGAATGCGTGTACGTGCCAGGTGTGACTTCAGCTTCTGAATAACACACTTTCCAGTTTTGTCAGAGATCCTGTCAACTTCATAGAAAAACTGAAGTAATCAGCTGTAATGACATAGTCATTCTGGTGGCATGTGAACAAGTCTATAATTCCAGTTTAGACCAAGGTCTATCAGGAACATCATGAGACACCAGTGTCACTTTTTGTTGTTTTTCTCCAAAAGTTTGGCAGGCATCACACTTGGCGACATAGTCACTGATCTCAGAATTCATGTTGGGCCAGTACACACTACCACGGGCCCTTGAGAGTCTCGTCAAATGCTGTTTCTCTCCTAATTTTGGTCAGTCGGTTGTCTGATACTGGAAGATATTCAGCAATGTTGATTTCTTCAATCTCAACATCTAGTGGCTTCTCCTGCTCAGTCAGGTATGCATGAGACAAGGTATCGGCAAGGTACATCTCTTTACCCTTCTTATAAGAGATGGTGTAGTCGCATACATCTGCAGGGCCAGAAGCATACGTTGCAAACGTTTTGGAGCTGAGATCAAAGGCTTTTTGTGAATTGTCTCTAAAGGCTTATGGTCACTTTCAACCTGTACAAATCTGCCATACAAGTACTGATGGAATCGGGTGAACCCAAAGAGAATGCTGAGTAACTCCTTTTCAATTTGTGCGTAGTTTTTCTCTGTAGAGGAGAGGGCTCTACTGGCATAGCAAAGCGTGGTTGCCCAGCTTGAAGAAGAGTGGCTCCTAAACCAGTGTCGATTCCTCATCTAGGCTGGCGTGCAAAACCCATGTAAAAATTAAGCTGGGGTTGAAGTACTTCAGGACTGGTGCTTCTGTCACAGCTTTGTGAATCCCTGCAGAAGCTAAGCGTCATGTTAGCGTGTGTCCAGTTCCAATCACAGTCTTTTTCTTGTTAGTTGTCGCAAAGGTTCACCCAGATTTGACAAGTCTTTCAGGAATTTGGAAGGTAATTTGCCATTCGATGATGCGCTGAACACCCTGAACATCAACTGGCTTGGGCATCTGTAAAATGGCTTTCACTTTAGAGGGATCTGGTTTGAGTGCTTCAGAAGTCAGCAAGTGACCTATGTAAGAGACTTGGAGTCTGCTTCAGTTCTAGTTTCTCAGCGTTGAGTCTGATGCCTTTTTTCTTGCATCTGTCCATAAGCTTGATGAACATTTCATCATGATTGATCAAGGCTTCTTCCACAGTTTTACCTTCTCCAATGATCAAGACATCATCTGTTATCCTAAATGTTCGGGCAGATCTTGAGAGCCTGATCCAATTGCTGTTGAAATAGTTCAGGTGCTGGGGATACGTCGAAGGGGTAGACGCAACCAGCGGTAGCGACCATCACGGCGTTCCAAAAGTGGTGAGATAACTTGATTCCTCATCTAGGCTGACATGCCTGGAAGGATATCTTCTATGACAGGTAATGGGTAATGGCTTCTTTTCAGAGCTTTGCTTAGAGGTTTTGGATCTATGCAGATCCTGGAGTTTTCAGATGGTTTTTCACTATCAACAAACTGGAGACCCAGTCTGTTGGGGTATCAACTGTAGTAATGATACCTTGTTTTTCAAGTCTATTCAGTTCAGTCTTTAGGTTATGTTTTAGAGCATGAGGAATCCGGCGTAGAGGTTGCTTCACTGTTGTGACATTTGGATCAATTTCCAACTTCTGGGTACCTTCCAGGGTACCACATTCTCCATTGAAGATTTCTGGGTATTTCTGAAGATTTCTTCTTCGAGAGTACCTTTGGAGAGAATGCTGGAGTAGATACAGATGCCTGGTTCTCAACGGTTGGTGCAGTGACTTCATATATGTTTTCAAACAGTACCTTGATCAGTTTCATCTGTTGCGCTGATCTTGATCCTATGAGGGAGTCCTGTCATCTGCTACCACCATGAACTCTCCTCTGTATCGTTTGGAGTTCTTAAGATTCACAAGCTTGATCCATGTTGTGCCCACAGCCGATAAGGCCTACTTTCATTGTACATCTTGAGTCTAACGGGAGGCGTTTCTTATCTTGCAGCTTCCAAGAACATCTTTCTTGGATATGATATTGCATGTGGCTCCACAATCTATCTGAAATCTGACAGGATTGTTCTCAAGTTTCAGGGTGGCATAAATCTTCGTAGGGTACTCTGTCTCCACACTGTTAATGTGTTGAGTGTCAGTGTGATCAATAAGGAGTAGTTCTTCCTCTGAATCATCAAAGAGAGTCCTCCTCAAGATTATGAACACGTCCTCTATAGCGTTTAGGCTTCAGTTTCTTTGGTGCCTTAGCACATGTTTGCAAAATGTCAATTTTGTCACAGTTCAGACATTTCTTCTCAAATGCTGGACAACTTTCCGTTGTTGGGGGTGCTTATGACCACAATGGCTACATGCAGTTGTATTTGAGACTAGTGTTACCCTTAGGTTTTGACTGAGTGTTTATGCATGGCGTGAACCTGAATGTCTTCTGAATGGCACTCATAGCTCTAACTTGTGCTGCAGTAGATTCTGCTGCTCGACATATATTGATGCACCGTTTTAGAGTCAATTTGGATTCCTGGAGTAGCTTTCTTCTAGAAGCATTGTCATTGATTCCACAAACAATTCGATCTGTAATTAGATCATCCTGGAGATCACGAAAGTCACATGTGGAGGCCATGGTTCTCAGCTTGTTAGCATATGAATCTATGTTTTCACCCTCTTGTTGCATACAATTATTAAAAGGTGTATCTCTCATATCTGACATTAGTCTCTCCCATACAGTGTCACTCCATGAGAGTTAGAACAACATCCATATCTTTCCTGTCGTTTTCTGATTCAAATGGTCAACCATTGAAAACTTCTAGAGCTTCTGGGCCAATATAGGTTATGAAAGCTGCTAACCTATATTTATGGTTCTTCTGATCAATTCCTGCCATTGTTTCAAAGAGTCCCACACTTGTTTCCATAATTTCCACTTATGAGCCAAATTCCCTTCAATTCAAGTCTAGGAGGAGCGGGGATACTCCCTTAAAAGGGTATAGTAGGAACAACGAGTGGAGGATCCCCTTGCTCACCTTCGTTAGACATATCGACAACTGACAGTACCTGATTTTGAGACTAGCAGCGTGTCACAAGTGAAGAACGTTCGGCGAACGAGAGTGTGCCTTTGAAGAATATTGGGGCAAATAGAAAGAGAGTCAAATAAACGAACATGTGCCTGTTACTGTGTCACATCCGTGATCCCACTTCTGACACCATGTTTCGGTGGGTGTTACTCCAGTACAAAAGACACAATATAGACTTGGTACACCGATCGGTTTTTACTGTCATGCTTTGTACAACCGAACACGTGGCCTGCGCCTTGCATGCGTGATGAGTCGAGCTTGATGCACTAACACAGTGATGCACTAAGTTAATAATTCTACTATCGCTTAACAGGTACAGCGTGTGAAGCCCATTTCTGGTGTCCCCTGGTGTGATAATGCTGGAATATGGCTAAAAGCGGCGTAAAACCCGGCGCTGACTTAGTCATTTCTCCAAAGGATATTTCCACTTCATTTATCCTCTCCATCTACTTGATTCTCCTCAAAATTTGCAACAATCAATTGTATATATTTTATTTATTCCTACATGTAATGTGCAGCCATTGTTATCTGTTTAAATCTGTCCATAGTAGGGTGGTGATATGTTGCAAAATACAAAACGAATCAACTAAAAACTCTTCATTGGAAACGCCAGGAAAACAATATAGCTTGGTGAACACAAATGCCATCTTTTATTGAGAATGAGTAATTATGTGTGCTCACTTAATGCATAGTGCCACAGGGCACAGCCAAGATAGAAAGTCAAGGTGTTTATGTGTCCCAAATCTTCATAGCACTACACAGGGCACCCTGGAAGCAGTAAGGTGTTTATTTTTTATAGGTGTAGCTAAAACGGCTCATTGCAATACTTATACAAATCATACTGAGCATCATGCATATTCTGCTATTTCTAATGGGTATTCCAATTTACTATTGAAAAATAGTATTTTATCTCTGCATGATATGATACCCATCATCACAAGGCATTTGATACAAAGAGACGACAACCTGGAAACTTCACGTAACCATGCAAATGGCAAACAAATTCAAACCCTGTCCTACCTCCGATAAACTCTGCCAGAGACACAGCAGTGTCATTGTCCTTGTCAAAGTCCTTCAAGCGGTGCTGGACCTCGAAGGCATACATATGCTCGTAGTCATAGGGATGGACGAAGGCCACATACTCGCTCTTGTCTAGAGATCCATCCTTGTCCAGGTCAGCTGCTGTGAAACGCTTCTCATCCTCATCGATGACCTGACAACACGTGGAAATACTAGTTGATATTTATGATAGAAGCAGTGGTGCTATGAAGGTACATGTTACATTTTACATGTATTGTAGTTCCTACCCCCTTCCACAACCTTTCAGCACTACCAAAACTACCTTTCTGAACTACCAACCCTCCCCTTCCACACTACCAACCCCTCCCCTTCCACACTACCAACCCTACCCTTCCACACAACCAACCCATACCCTTCCACACTAACAACCAGGGCTTCCAATATAACAGGCTTTACCAACCCTTACCGTTCCACACTACAAAACTACACCCTTTATGACACTGATCTAAAACCTACCCCTTCCCATGCATTCGAACCCCTCTCCATTCCAAATCTTCACATACTTCCAACCCCTTGTTCTTCCACACTATGCCAAATGTTACCACATTTTTATTTTGTCATGATTAAAAGTTTTTATAAAGGTTAATCAATCATAGTGATTTTGTTGTGGCCCTTTTGCTTTTATAATCAAGCCCCCTCTACTTGATTCCAAGTAGTTTCTTTGTTGACCCTACCCCTTGCAATATATTGCAATATATATCGCAATATATGCTTCATCAGACGCAATACATTGCAATATGAATTCCTCTGCAATACCCACCCCTACTAACAACCCCCTACCCCTTCCACACTACCAACCCTACACTTCCATACTACCTCCTTCCACACTACCAACCCCTACCCCTTCCACACTACCAACCCTACCTCTTCCACTCAACCAACCCTCCCTTTCCCTTCACCACCAACCCTACCCTTCCACTCAACCAACCCTACCCTTCCACACTACCAACCCCTACCCTTCCACACTACTGCTCCACACTACCAACCCTACCCCTTCCACACAGCAACCAACCCTACCCTTCCACACTACCAACCCCTACCCCTTCCCACACTACCCACCTATACCCTTCCCCACTACCAACCCTACTACCCTTCCACACAACCAACCCCCTACCCTTCCAACACTACACCAACCCCATACCCCTTCCACCACTACCAACCCTACCCCTTCCACACAACTAACCTATACCCTTCCCCACTACCAACCCTATACCCCTTCCACACTACCAACCCTACCCTTCCACACTACACTATCCATCTCTACTTCCCTCCCACACCATCCATCCCTACCCTCCCACACACCACATCCATCTCTCTACCAACTACCCATCTCTACCCTCCCACACCACCCATCTCTACCCCTCCCATACTGCACCAATCTCTACCCTTCCACACTATCCAACCCTACCCTTCCACACTACCAACCCTACCCCTTCCACACTACCAACCCCCCTACCCTTCCACACTACCAACCCCATACCTTTCCCTTCCACACAACCAGCCCCTACCCTTCCACACTACCAGCCCTACCCCTTCCACACTACCAACCCTACCCTTCCACACTACCAACCTACACCCTTCCACACTACCAACCCTACCCTTCCACACTACCAACCCTACCCTTCCACACTACCAACCCCTACACCCTCCCACACTCAACCTAACCCTTCCACTTCCCACTACCAACCCTACCATTCCACACACAACCAACCCCTACCCTTCCACACACTATCAACTCCACACTACTACCCTAATTCTTCCACACCACTAACCCTACCCCTTCCACACAACCAACTCCCTACCCTTCCACACTATCGAGCCCTACTACCCTTCCACACTACCAACCCTACCCTTCCACACTCCCAACCCCTACCCTTCTACACAACCAACCCCAACCCTTCCACACTACCAACCTACACCCTTCCACACTACCAACCCCTACCCTCCCACACTACCCATCCCTACCCTCCCACACCACCCATCTCCACCCTCCAACACTACCTACCCCTACCCTTGCACACTACACAACCCCATCCCCAAACCTTCACGCTACCCTTCCAAACCTTCCACAATACCCTCCAGACCCCACCCCTACCAACATCCATAGCTTCAGATCCCCCCATTGCTGACCTTCACCTCTACTCACCTCCAATATGGACTTGTCATCTGCATCACCTTTTGCCTTCATGGCTTTCACCTCCTCCTGGGAGTAGTCATACTGCTGCTTGAGGTACTCTCCGAAAGTCAGCTTCCCATCACCATCCCCATCCTGCTCAGTCAACAGTTTCAGAGCCTCTTCTTCATCCAGAGACCTGCCAATAGATAAACCAGGATTTATATACACAGATCCATGGTTTTAATTCATTGTAATGCACCCAAGCAAGTCACTAACTTATTCCCACAGGCAGACATGAATGGGACTGTGGCTATCTCATCACCATGTTTAGCAGACTTTTCATGACTGGAAATAAAACCTGTAGCCTGAGTACTGCCAAATAGTAATACCTCCATTACTACTACTAATAATTAGACTGATACTAATGAACACTCAAATGATGGTTTTATTTGTTTGTTTGTTTGTTTGTTAACTTTTTAGCGACTTTTAACAATATTCCAGCAATATCACAGTGGGGGACACCAGAAAATGGGCTTCACACATTGTACTCATGGTGGGAATAGAATCCAGGGCCTAGATTTTCAAAGCTCTCTTAGCGCTAAGATAGTCGTAAGTGTCATGCATTAACATTAACTTACGACTATCTTAGCGCTAAGAGAGCTTCGAAAATCTAGGCCCAGGTCTTCAGTGTGACGAGCAAACGCTTTAACCACTAAGCTACCCACCACCCCTCAGATGATGGGATACAGTGACCACAAAGAAGTCACCGATGATACTCAAACCCTGAGATACACGTCCAGGTGGTACAGTGACAGAGATCGTATCCACCTACTTGAGAGACTGCATGATCCATGTGATGAACTCTTCCTTCGAGATTTTCCCATCTTTATCCAGGTCGTGTGACTTGGCCAGCTGCTCCAGCCTGTTCTTGGCCTGTGCGGGTGTCAGGTCATCAGCATCCAGTGCTTCTTCTCGGGAACCTGTAATCAGACGCACCAATACAGAGTCAGCCTCATTCCATCTACATCTAGCACATACTACTTCCCACTCTAACAGACTGCACAGCTGGATCCATTACCATTAAAGGCTGGGGTGTAAATTCTGAATTCTTAACCGCAGAGTGAGTGAGTTTAGTTTTACCACTTTTAGCAATATTAAACCAGGAGACAGAAGAAATGGGGCTTCACACATTGTACTCATGTAGGGGAATCAAACCCAGGGCTTGGTGTGATGAACAAATGCTTTAACCACTAGGCTACCCTACCGCCCCCTTAACCGCAGATGGAGACTTCATATTATGAATCCTTCACTCCTACTGTCAATAGCAATTCAAATAATGAGCGAAATATGATTCTTGTGGTTCTGCTGATGAATCTAAACAAAATACTGAATGTCCTTGGTAACACAGAACAGATATTTTACCCAACAACACTCTAAGGCTCAGTACAGAAACTGAATGATATGTGTGTGAATGAGTGTCCTTGTTTCACACAAAAACAAAGTCATATGTACATGTATTTCTCTGCTTATTTGGTGAGGCACTACCTCAGGTGCCTGGTGAGTTTCCGTGTCAGGGACTCAGAAATAAAAAACATTAATAATAAAAAAAAAGAGAAATGAAATATGACAGTGGATATACATTGTATACTTAGCTTTGTCTATATTTCAACAAGATTTTACTCTCTTTTTTTGTCATTGGGGTCTATAGATGATTTTCATACAATAAAAAGTCTTTTTATCAAACTACTGTGTTTCATCCAGGTTAGCTAAATAATAAAACATTAAACAAAAGCTGGAGAATAAAATAAGTAATTTAATCGTTTTCACTAAAAAATGTATTTGTTAAGACAGGATTTTGTTAATCCTACACGTTGCACCACAATAAACTATTAAAGTGCAGGGGTCCTTGGTTCTACTTCTGAAATCAACAGAAATTGGTGATTTCTCCAACGAAAACCATTTTATGATTGTATCATTTTTCCATAATTTGCATATGACCCACAGTTGCATCAGTTTTATCTTTTGATTAAATTTTGTTTGGAATGGCCAGTGAATTAATTCCTGGCTCTGTGCAATATCATACTAAAGAGTGTGTGAGGTAGCCAGGTGGTTAAGGTGTTCGCTCATCACACCAAAGACCTGGGTTTGATTCCCCACATTGGCACAATGTGTGAAGTCCATTTCTGATGTTCCACACCATGAAAAATAACTGGAATAAACACAATGTAAAACTATACTCACTGACTCCAAATACTAAATCCTACAAACCTACATCAGTTTTAATTAAACAAGTGAAATAACAGACCAGGTCACCAAAAACTAGGCAAATGTTAGTATTGGGTGACCTATCCAAAATTCTGATGAAACTCTCATCCAGTGTTGAAGGTAAAGGAGAGCCCAGTATCCCCTGACATGAGAAGGAGCCAGCTGTTACGCTCTAAGTCTAGCCACCACAATGGATTCAGCTTGGAATCAATGATCAACAGAAAGACAGGTTGGTTGCCTATTAAGCCAAATACCATTGCCTGCAGGAGTCAATAGGCTATTTGTACAGCCATACACAATTCTCCTGTCGCGGGGCTTATTGTCAACGTCAACGTTGCATGTGGCGTCCACGTCACACCATCAGCGCTCATACGGCACTTGACAGTATCATGACCGAGTTCATTTGCACTGATTAAATGGATTATGTTGAGTGAAGGTAATCATGACAGTTCTTTTCTTATTAAAATATTTTAGGAATCTTTTACAAAAGGTGAAAAAATATAACATGGTAATTACAGCATCCTTGGGGATTAGAATGAATTTTACACATTCGTACAATGATTGAATATACTTCCCACATGAAGAACACTCAATTCTCCAATGACAAATAAAGTATAGTAATATTAAAGAATAAGGAGCTTGTAACTATTTTTGAGTAGGATATACATCACTGATAAGATTATGGTAATTATGTGGTTATTACACTAATAATGAGAATTGTATCACCAATTTAACTTTAAGTCTTTAACTTTAACTTTGAGTTATCTTAGCACCAAGATCACCAAGATTGTATTATGGGCCCTGAACCTTTACCCTTTAGTAGTTCTACAGTTGCAATAAACATGAGGCTCCGTATAGATGGATCATGGGAAGGTAAGCATTAAAAACGATTCTTTTAAATAGTGACTTCACTCTGGCATACGGAGAACAGGCTTTTATTCTATTCAGGCTCTCAGGGTTTCACCAGATACTGTCAGCTAGTGTCTTTTACTCATGTAATATGTATTGTTCATGACAAATTAGATTGGGAATTGATTTATGCTTACAGCATATATAAATTAAATCAATACTTTGTGAATTGTGGCTAACATAATCAATAAAGGGCAAAATTCACAGGCTTAAAATGAACAAATAACACTGCATTACTACAGTATGTGCTGACAATGTTCCTGGGACCTGATCCACTAAGATCTTATTACATGGTCAAGATGATCGTTACGTCACCTTAATAAAGACCTTATCGACAATCGTAGCACTAAGCTTGGTTTCATCCCACAAAACAGTGATAGCACTATGACTGTCCTAAATCTATGTTTAAGTACTTGAGATATAACTGTTTTATCGCTAAGATTACTTTTTGAAACAGGTACATGTGTACCTGTGGGCAGAGTCTGAAAGTAAACTTAAGTTTGCATGGGTCCTGGCTCTTCAGAGTGGAAATGAGGTATTTTAGGTTTGTCCTACCAGCTGATCAAAACACAGCTCTTGGGTTTGGTATGCTGTATAAAATTCCTCCTGTGAATCACCAACAGGAAAGATCAATTTTCAACTGGGAAATGGCTGATAGTGTCTCACTCTATCCTGACATTATTGAATGTTGGTCACAATACAGATCACTGGTTTGTCTGGCCCAGGCTTAATGACTTCACAGGTGGCTGTGACACATCTGACACCTCAAAACACATCATGCCAATGGCATCCACCAACCACAGGACTCGAAAACACACGTTGGAAAGTTGTACAGAAAAAACATAAGTATAAATGAACTAACAATGTTTCCCTAGTGAAATGGGGTTCCATGAATCTATGTACAGTGACTGTTATGGAATAATGATCTTATTCAATCCTAGTTTTGAGATCTTAAAATGGAACTAACTCCACAATCGGATTGGCCATTTCCAGTTTAGGTCTAGACACTGTGAAACTGGGGCATTGTTTCAGTGTAAGCAAGGATAACATAACTATTAAATTTATATTCATTATAAGAGTTGAGTTTACAGACAATGAAGTACAAAACTATTGTTGATATAATTAAGGAACATTATCAAATGAAGATAAACTTTTCCGTATTATAAGTAGCTGATAGACTGATACATAGATCTAAATAAACACAGAGTTTACAAACGAAACAGAATGAGTTTTACGTTAGGTTGAGTTTAGTTGAAAAAGTTTAATGTACTTTAAGTGTAGATTCAAGCACTTTTCCCAACCAAACACCATCGGAAATGGTAAGAATCATGTAGATAACAACCTCAGTTTTCTAAATATCCATAAATGATGACAGTCGGCGTTGGTTTTCATTCATGACGTGCCGGCAGTAACGTCACCGTAAAAGCGTTTAGTTTGACTCTGTGGCTCTGTACTCACCTAAGACAGCTTCGTGATCGCGATGTTTGTTCCTCTCCCCGTCAGCAGTCTCCTTCTGTCCCCCCAGGGGGTCGTGCTGGGCGTGGCCAGCCGGGAGGACCTGTTCCTTCGTCTCTGCATTCTCTTTATTCTCTGCGAGTACCAGCGTTAAGACAAGGCACATTGACAACACACTGGTTAAGCCCCTCATCTTCACACGAACCTGCGAAAATAACAAACAAACGTGAATTATCATCGGCTGTACTCGAACAGAATACGAATTTAAGCAAAATCAAAACCAGTACTTACGTTGTCACTTTCAGTTACAAAACTAGAGTCCCGAAATTGAAAACAACGATTCCACTCTTTCTGAAGACTCAACTGCTCGCGTGTACACTTATATGAACCGGATGTAACAGTAGAAGCGAGTTGTCGATTCCTCATTGGCTGTTCGTACAATAGTCTTGTTATTGACTGCTATTAACTCCAAGGTTGTTTGAACGCACATGTTAAACGTGGAGGGTGACAACATGTTCGCTTTAGAATTCCCACATCTCATTTACTTTCATATTGATCTGCCACAAGCCACCTGAGGCTTTTGTATAGCAAATGGTTAATGTTGAAATATTTTAGAAATGGTGCACTGGGAACAGCTCGTATACTGGGCGGTTAGTAATCACATCTCGTTATAGATTTAGAATATTTATTCTTGTAATGTACATGGATGACGTTTCGGTGTTTCTTAACTACATCTTACACGTCATTTGGTGACCTGTACCCCGCAGATTGAGTTTCAGCTCTTAGTACCAGCTGTGACGACCGCGCGTGCCTCTTCAGGTTATACAATTGACTGACATTTGGTTCCAGAAATAAATTTATCTCACTCAAAAATTTAAAAAATCAATACATTTATTTGTGAAACAAATCCAAATGGATCCCACAAAACACCCTAGAGTAGAATGGCATTTAGCCCCAGAAATAAATATATCTTATTAAAAAATATGAAAACCAATATGCGAAACTATACCAAATGGAGCACAGAACAATTCCTAATTTCTGGGGCTGATGCAATCCAGACTAGCCAAATCAATCGTAGAGGTGAGTAGGACTGACATTTTAGGTATTCTCAAGGGTTTTCTACTCAGACTAGTTATACATAATTACGTTTTAAAACATTTTGGGCTCTTGAAAGCGTTTGAATTATTTGGTAAAGAAATTTTAATTGACTAAGAAACATTGTTTGACATATCAATCCAATCCATTACCTTACCATTTTATGTCTAAATTAGTTGACGTATCATTTATATCGAACTCGGTGGTTATTACCCAAAAGATTAACTGAATCATCCTTATTAAAATGAAAGGTTACATTTTGTTAAAGGAAGTGAACAAAAAGTACTTTTATTGAAAATTTTAGATTTAGATTGAAGATTTTATTGAAAACATATCCATTAACGCTGGGTCTGAGGGTGTCGGGTAACCACACACAGTCATGAGGGACACTGATATCGCTGAGGCACCGTTTTACCATTTGTTTCTAATTTCATTATGTTAATAATTCACTCACTGACATCACAAAATCAAGTATTTCGATTTATGGTATGATAACATGGTTACAGTTCATATAATCTATTTATTGGCATCATAAATTCAAGTGGTAGATGAAAATCGAATTTATTGTAGCGTAAATAAATAAATTATTTGTGACAGCTCAAGAGAATTGCGAATTTAGAATTTGTGATGCCAATAAAGCAGCTGTAACTGATACTGAAATCATATTATATGTCTCAAATTATGTTTATTGATATGTAAGGTGAGGTGAAATGGGAATTGACGTCGTAAATAAGAATATTTCGCTCAAATATGACGACGTGCATGCGTGTGTATGTGTGGCTGCTTGTACAAGTCCAGACTTAAGCTCACCAAGATACCATGCCGCAGTTAAGCATGAAAACCCAACTCAGACACATTATACTGACTCCGAGCCGTCCAATCCTTGTGCCCAGTAATGTCGAGCGCCAAGCAGGGACCAACCGTTACCATATTTGAACATCTTTTGGTATGACGCGGCCGGGGACCGAACCCGCAACCTTCCGCTCTCCGGCGAACGCTCTATCCACTACACCACGGAGGCTACCTTATTGATATGTAAACATCGAGTTTGTGATAGCATGTGGATATACATTATACTCCTCTCAAATCAAACGTCATTCGGGTTTATTGGTAAGACAACAGGCCCCAGCAATCTATGCTTATTGTAAGAGGCCACTAAATGGATTGGTTGGTCAGCTCGGCGACCTGGTTGATTGCATGTCATCTTTCCTGGGTCGTTGCTCACGATATCATTCACCGGACTGTCTGGTCCAAATTGGATTTATATACATACAATGTTTCATTCCTTCATATCTGGAATATGGCTGGCATTATATAAACATTTAAGATAAATATTTATAATATTCTATACATCTGTGACACTGATCGGTTAAAAAGCAGAAACGGTTTTGAATATTGATTTACAAAAAGACCGACTAGGTATATCATTTAAAAATAATTTAATCACATTTAATTAGAACAGCCACGGCTACAAAAGCATATAGTTTAATTCTTTGCAGCAAGTATTCACGCAGACCGAGAATAGAATTTCAAAACGTTGATTCATACTTACTTCAGGCCATCTACAGCACATGACCAACGCTATATATAGTTTCATTTAAGTAGATATTCACCGCGACCGAGCATATCATTTTAAAACTTTCAGTCATACTCACTTGACGACAGCCGCTGGGATAACGTCTGTACAGTTTATGGATCATACCCCGACCAGGATTCCTTTTCAACAACTTGAAGCAAACTTACTCTGGCATAGCCACAGTGACAAAAGTCAGTGTACTTATGCTGGGATTCACTGGGTATATATGTTACAGGGAATGTGTGAAACCAGGGATTTCACGTAATCCCTGAAAGATTCAGTGATTTCGAGAAATCACTGTGACCCCCAGGGATTTCATGTATTCCCTAAAATTTCCAGGGATTTCATGAAATTACTGATTTTCATAGTGTTCCATTACACACATTCCCTGTTAGGATATCAGTGAATGTGTGAAATTAATGTTTGTAGCTTAAAACTTTACTGTTGAGTCTCATTTCATCCCTTAGTTCTTTGGAGTTGAAAACTTTGACAATTTACCGATGACACTTTTGGCTAATTACTACTAATGACACTAAGTCAAGCTAAGAGAGGGAAATTACCGGGTTTCGATAATATTCCAGTTGATGTTTTGACAAATGACATCTGTATAGATTATCTTCATAAACTGTTTTCTACTGTTATGAGACTGGTCATGTTCCCTCCAACTGGGCCCAGGGGATCATTACCCCTACCCCTAAGCCTGGAGCTGACAACCTGAGAGACCCAATGTCTTATCACAGCATCACACTAGTGCATCTTATTGTTATGATTAATAATTTAATCAATATAGTTACAGACGTTGTTTTTAGCGATTTCGTTTATAAATGGAAACATGACCTTTTACAAGTTGGTAGTTTAACTGGTAGGGGAGGTAGTAAGTTACACACGTACTGTACTGTAAAGGTGGATTTTTACAGTGATTTTTATGTTAATTGTAATGTCTCGCTCTATGAGAAAAGCAATAGCTTTGTTTAGATGTGCGGTAGCGCCGCTTAGAATCGAAACTGTAAAGATTTTATTGAAGATGAGTGTCATGTTTTATTGCATTGTCCTTTGTATGCTGATGAGCGATTGCAACTTTTATCTAAATGTACAAGTCTTTTAGATGGTTTTTTAAAAAATCTGGGTATGTTGAAAAAGTTAGTTTTTTTCTAGCTTGTGCAGGTGTATCGTTTTTATCTGCCAAAACCTGCCTTAATATTCTTAAAAAGCGTACTGCAATTTTTTTAATATCTTCTTAATGTAACTTGTACCCTTATTATTGCATTTTTAATATTCATATATTATATTCTGTATATTGTGGCACAAGTGTCTCTCATAATTCCGTACGGAATGGCTCAACATTTTACTGTGATATAGCATTTAAAAAATTAGCGAGGTTTTTCAAACATTTTGTTTTCTTTATTGAAAATAGACGTTTAAGTTTAAACAGACTCGACCATTCATAGAAATAACTTGGAACATACATCATCCGGCTGTTGAAGAAGAGCTTTGGGATATGGGGTAGGGAAGGAAAAGGTATTTTTCAAACCATATATTTCATGTTTGTCCTCAGCGTCTTCTTTCTACGAATGATGTGACAATGGACAAAGAACTGTTTCTCCACACAGCTGTGATTTTCGAGTCGAATTGTGGTGGTCAGGGTTTCAAGAAATGTAACTGTTGTCTTAACCAGTGTAAATCAATACGTTGTAAATGTTTTAAAGTGCTACTGAAGTGTAATAGCTTGTATGATAACACTCTATCTTGTCCTAACAAATGAATTTTATCAGGAAATACTCTGTACTCGCATTATAAATTTGGTGTTCTCTATTTCAATAATGGCTTACAGGGATTTCATGAAATCCCTAAGCCAATATTTCAGTAATTTCATGGAATCCCTGGAAATTTTAGGGAATACATGAAATCCCTGGGGGTCACAGGGATTTCATGAAATCACTGACTCTTTCAGGGATTACGTGAAATCCCTGGTTTCACACATTCCCTGTAATATATACTACAAACAAAAAATATGGGAACACAGTAAAATTTGATAGTCGTATATAAACTGAAACGTGGTGAGGTCATTTATACTCTAAGGTAAATGCAACTTTTTGTATGCTTAATTGGAACTTTAAACGACATGTTGGAACATGCAGTGAAGCAACTGATTCAATATTCATTGAGTTTGAGTGAAATGAAACATTGTTAAAAACAGCGAAAAACAAGGATGCTGAAACACACCAGCACCATGTTTGATTCCGACGCCAAAACACAACTGCCTAATGCATGTGGAAGACAGACTTCCCACGCAGCTTATGGCAACGTTTCCTTTAAAAGAAGCTACAGACAGTATTGAAGCCTCACAACTTCTTCACCTAGTCTGTCTCGCAGTCCCTGAACCACATTATTTCCCCTACTGCCAAGCCCTCTCTGCAGTGCTAAAGCCCTAAATAAAGCAAGTCTAGATTTCCTCATGTTCAGGTCTGAATCTCTGGTCTCCCTAGGGCTCCTTTTCAATATAAATAGGCTTGTTTGTTACTATCAAAATTATATATATTCAGAGACTAAGCCTTAGTCTACTTCTTCACCATGCCGCAGCGCAAACCGTTAAGCGCCCGCAACAGAAGCAGGACCATTGCATGGTTACAGGATGGTGAATCCATAAGAAGTGTTGCTCTCCCTCTTAGTTTCATTACAGTGCAGCTGTACATAACTAGGGGTGGGTATTGCAGAGAATTTTCATATTGCGATATATTGCGATGCGAAAGCATGTATTGCGATTTATAGA